TACCCAAGATGTTCCTCGATAAGCAGGAGCTGGCTCTCGCCCATCACCTTCATGTACACCAAAATATGAAGTCATCTCCAGTCGCAGCCTGACTGGAGAAGACCTTTGGAATTCATGTCACCTCCAAACAGCTGCGAAACTTCTAGTGTGGAGTCACCCATGGGTAGCTACCTGGAGACCAGTACTCTCAATCTGGAAGACCTCCAACATCGAGCAGCTCCGACAACGTCGCTACGGTCTAGGACATCATCTTCACCACAGTCGCCAAGGCGCGGGTTGATGGTATGGACCGGACGTACCTGGAATGGAAAGACCAATATTTTCTTCGTGGGCCCCGGACTGAAGGTGAGCGCTGGCGGTTACATCGAGCAACTCGTGAAGAATATCCTCCTCACATGTCGTCGCCCGTACCTTCTTGGAAACTTTGTACTGCTACAGCATTGGGTGCCACCACATGGAATCGAAGGGCGTTGGAGAAACTCTCGCCTACTTGGAATGGAAGGGGGCTGAGTACCTAAAGAAGATGGAATATCCAAGTAGGTCACCTGACCTGAATCCCCTCAATTACCCGGTTCGGGCGGAGTTCAATAGGGTGGTCTACGGTGGCGGAGAAATCGACTATCTCGCTGATCTCAGGGACCACATCGCGGTTGCGTGCCAGAATCTCTCGATGGCGCTCCTCCAGAAGGCTGTGGCGGAGTGTCATGATAGTATTTAATATGCTCTTTAATATGGTGGTAGAAATGTCCGATCAGAATAAAGTGTAACTTATAGCGCCTCGAAAGTCAATGAAGCAAAGTGACTTTTTTGCCCTCCCCTGTATACAAGTTTTTAGCGGATTTGGTGATCTTGCCACTTTTAAAATGAGCTCGAAGACGAAATTTCTGGAGTCAAACGGCATTAGACCACGAGGAGCCCCAAAGAAAAGATGGAGGGACGTCATCAAGAAGGACCTCACTGAAGTGAAAGCCACGGCAGAAGATGCAGTGGATCGGAACAAGTGGCGACGTCTAACAAGAACAGCGGACCCTGCGACGGCGCGGGACTAACGCTAGGGAGAAGAAGAAGAAGACTTTCCATTGAATATGGACGAGACTCGCATGAGAAATTTGAATTCGATGATCATAGTGCCTACGCGACCCGCTGCGCCCTTTTCTGTTAGCAATTCACGGCAGCGGGGCATGTTTCAGTAGAAGCTATTATATGAACGATATCATGCGCTTCTATATAACGCCTTTCATTTTGTGTGGAACTGGAAACAGATCGGGCCCTGGTGAAGTCGCTTTGAGTTATTCGTAGGATAATGACACAATTTTTTATTAGTCCTCAGATGTTGTGCTTTCGTTTAGAGACAAAGCAGTTTGTTAATTCTTTTCTTGTGAGGCAGTAGTCTCCTAAGCTTCGTATCGGGAGAACCACTTTCTACTAATTTAGACAATCATTTTTCTAAGCTTTCGGTTAACACCCTTCGATGCTTCATTCCCACCTTGACCTAGGCAAACTTTCATCCCACTTAGCAAGAATCGTTTAATAGTGTCTTCGGAAGCAAGGTGCCGTCCAGCATTCGAAAACCTCGAACACGAAGGGCGTCGAAATGAAGCAGGTGAGGTATAGAAATCAGGTATAGAATCAAGCTTTCATCAGTGAGATGGTGAATCGACCACGCTGTGTAACACTGCCAAAATGAAATTGGCTTCGTTTAGTTGCGTGTCGTATTGTTCGTGGCGTCACCCGATAGTTTACACCACCCCTCCCCCCCCCCATCCCTCCGGGCGGAACACTGTCTTCTTACATGCTGCCACCGTTTGGCAATTTTGTTTCGAAAGAATTTTCGCAAACTTCAGATCAGTAGGTATCTAATCCTTGTCGCCAGTTCTGGGGCACGTCGATTCTTCACCGTCGCAGGGTATGAACGCACCATCACATGGTGTCAACGGTATGGCCTCACCAAAGAATCGAAAATGAAGTACGACGAACATATCGGGCGAATTTGTAAAAAGTGCCTTTACCGAGTAGTTTCCTTGGGAAGTAGTACGGCTATTATTAGTTATACATCGTCCATTGTCGTCTGGGCTCCAAGGCTTTTTAATGATAACTGCCCGGCAGCAATGCATTGTTTCTTCTCAACGAGTACAGTTTGAGTTTGAGTTCGTCACAGGCCGCAAATATTACAGTAAAGGTGTCGGTGAACCCTTCGCAGGAGTCGACGACAAACGTAGTAATTGAAGCAGGTATTTATGTGATGAGTTAAACACGATTATCATCGGACCGAACTGAGTATGTGGCGAAACAGTCATAATTCGCCGCTATGATGGGCTTCGCGTCCGCTAACGATGACGTTTCTACGTCATAGATGGCGATACTAGACGATGTATAACTCAAAGTAGCCATAAATGTCTACGATGTCGTGGTACGCATAGAACCTGTGCAACTGACAGTCTAATGCAAACTAAGAAAACGCCGTTCCTAACGGAGCGACTAATTACTATTGTCTCGACCATCCGCTCCGACATCTGCGCATTTTACTTTGCAGTCACCTGTCAAAAGTGAAGAAGCACTGCAACAAGGATTGATATACCATTTTCACTTTAAATCGGACACTTTTCAAACCAAATCGGACACTTTTCAAACCAAATCGGACACTTTTCAAATCAAATCGGACACTTTTCAAACCAAATCGGACACTTTTCAAATCAAATCGGACACACCCCTTACAATTAGGTGGTTGATAACTAGACCACACTAGGTACTGTTGCAAGCCCCGCCCCATTATCCCCGCCCATTTCTCAGCAGACAGGGTTTTCCGAGATGCTTCATGAAATCTGCTCCCTCGACTTTTTTCGTTTTTGCCCTTTGCACACACACTTCAACTGAAAAAGATTGATACCTATACAGATCTGACTCCGCCCACTTAACAATGAAGTTACGTAAGTTCTGAATTTTTATAACTTTTTTCGACGTAGTTCTTTTCACATCCAATCTTCACAAAACGAATAACCATGCACAGCACACCAGGCCCCGCCCCTCTGACCCCGCCCACTTGTGTTTATCGCGGAATTTTGGTTTTTCTTCCGGATTTTCGCTTTTTTAGGCTTTAGCGATTGGCTCCGCCCACCAATGGAAGCTCCGCCCACTTTGGGGAAGCCCCGCCCACTTTTCGAAAATGATGCAAATCGGCGGGCTAGTGTCCGTACTGGCGGATTACGGCCTCTCCCGGCACATAGAATAAAAAAAGGGAAAAACCGGAAAAAAGGGAAACTTTGTTCTGAGCGACGGGAGAGGCCGTAATCCGCCAGTACGGACACTAGCCCGCCGATTTGCATCATTTTCGAAAAGTGGGCGGGGCTTCCCCAAAGTGGGCGGAGCTTCCATTGGTGGGCGGAGCCAATCGCTAAAGCCTAAAAAAGCGAAAATCCGGAAGAAAAACCAAAATTCCGCGATAAACACAAGTGGGCGGGGTCAGAGGGGCGGGGCCTGGTGTGCTGTGCATGGTTATTCGTTTTGTGAAGATTGGATGTGAAAAGAACTACGTCGAAAAAAGTTATAAAAATTCAGAACTTACGTAACTTCATTGTTAAGTGGGCGGAGTCAGATCTGTATAGGTATCAATCTTTTTCAGTTGAAGTGTGTGTGCAAAGGGCAAAAACGAAAAAAGTCGAGGGAGCAGATTTCATGAAGCATCTCGGAAAACCCTGTCCGCGCTGAGAAGTGGGCGGGGATAATGGGGCGGGGCTTGCAACAGTACCTAGTGTGGTCTAGTTATCAACCACCTAATTGTAAGGGGTGTGTCCGATTTGATTTGAAAAGTGTCCGATTTGGTTTGAAAAGTGTCCGATTTGGTTTGAAAAGTGTCCGATTTGGTTTGAAAAGTGTCCGATTTGATTTGAAAAGTGTCCGATTTGGTTTGAAAAGTGTCCGATTTGGTTTGAAAAGTGTCCGATTTGGTTTGAAAAGTGTCCGATTTAAAGTGAAAATGGTATATCCAGGTTGCAGCAAGATGTGCTTTCAGTTGATTTTCACATGCTAATAATTCTTTTGTTCATTTAAATTTGCCAGCAGGCAGCTGTAAACTAGCAGCTTGTTGGCTGTGTAAAATATTAGAAAACTTCAGGGAAGATATGCAAAATTTTATTGAACACAGCGAGTATTATTTTGTGCTGAAAACATTGATTTTTTTCGATTTCGATCATTACATCAAAAAAGTAATGTTTGTTGGATGGTGGTGATACACTCAGTGCAGCTTGGATTTTTGAGCTTGTCACATTCTGGATTCAGAATTGGTCAGTCCAAGAAGTTGCGTTTGAGTGGGCGCCCACTGGATCGGGACGTGGGCTTGTTGAGCACTAGTCGGTTATATCAAATTGGACAAAAGTTTGTAATTTTTACCCCTCAGGTGAGCCCTGCATTAATTGGCGTCATCCGTTAAATATATCGAGCGATTGCAGTTCATGGACAGTCGTCGATCTCACTTAATGTATGATATTCGCATTTTAATGGATGAATGGAGCTCGGAACTGCAATATATATACGCGTCGTGGAACTCGGTTAGCATCAGCGGAAGACCACTAGTTGTGCTTGTTGTCAACAGCGACATGCTGACTACGGTTCGTTTAGTCACGTCTATGCCCCAACTTTTTGACCTAAGATATCAGTTTCTTTAGTCGACAGCAATATCTTCTCACTTCGCGATCGCTACCATACTTTACAGAGGTCTGGTTTAGCGGGTTGCGATGCTACTAATGAAGCTTTATTTGGTATCCTCATTTCTGTGGTTCGGGACGCATTTCAGAGTAGTGAGAGAAGCGCTTCCACTCAATATCAGTATGAAAAATAGACAGAACGGCCAGTAGGGAACACCAGTGAAAACAAAAACCCGCGGATTGAATATCACCTCTGACGGCTACGGAATAAGAACAAAAGAACCAGCAAAAACGAACGTCTCTACTGCAACTATAGGTAGCCAAAAACCAATCACCCTAGTTCATCTTGCACTTGTAAGATGGTAATAACCTAAACTGGATGCACTTATACTAGGACTCCCTCAGAACTATCGATGTGATTCAGTTCAGTTCGGTTCAACCCTTGTCTCTAAAAAAGATATCTGCTTACTTTCACCAGGAACCTGCTTGAATTTCCTACAGTTCAAGCCCGATATGATGCTTCAATGCACTCGAAAGTGACCATTCCTGGAGTAGGAAGCTTTCGCTTTTGGAGAGTTGCTCGAAAAGACAAGCACTGGGAGGCGTCGACGGATCCTACTAATACGATAAGTACGTCTGTCTGTCTGTCACGGAATTCTTAGCGACCATCCCAGTTGCTGTAGGAAGTTGATTACAGAAGTGGCATAGGGGCTGTGACTGGAACATTATCGGTGGTGACAGGGGGTGATAGCTGGCAAGATATTATAACAGGTGTCAGAAGAGGAGAATCACCGAGTCCGTAGCGCGGGTCACAGCAACAGTGGGGCGTTAGTTCAAAGGTGTGGTAGAGGGTATGGAGCTGGAACTTTTGGTAGGTCAAAGAACTGCTAGCAGCTGATAGATTTGATAAGAGGAGTTAGAAAGGTCCCCTCACTCGTAACAGAGCACACCATCGGCTAGGCGTTGATTCCACCAAGAATCACCTTATATCGTCCGTTTGTGATTTGTTTGTCTGTCCGGAAATTCGGTTCGACCTGAAGAACGACTTGGAGAGGTCGGGTCAAGGTGGGGATGGGTAGGGCATGGGACAAGAAATAAAAAGCACACTTGAACTATGGGAAGCCCCGCCCAGAGGGCACTCGCCGAAAGTTTGGGAAAAATGTTCATAATTCGCTTCCGGAGCAGCTTAAAGATGGGGAAAAAGGGAATAAGGTTAGTAAGGAGTCGCCAGACTAACTGTGGCAGACACATCCAAAATGGGCGGGGCGTACTCAAGGTGGGCGGTGCTTCTCGCAAAATTCAGTAACCCGGTTCGCGAGAGTGTTTGGAAGTCGCAAAAAACTCAGTGTAGAATGTAAATATCTGGCGAATATAGGGCACGCTCAAAGTGTGTTGAGACCCGCCCACAGTGGGCGGAGCTTGCCCTAAATCGCAGGGTCATTTTAAAAGTTTGTACTAGGTTGAGTCGATATGGCTCGGACAAATGGTAGTGATGATTTCTAGAGATCATAACTCAGCAACGAGTGAACGAAAATGGACGCGCGAGGTACCGTTGGAAAGAATATAAAAAGCTCTTCAAAATGCAATTAAACAAACACTCCAAACTAGTTTCATTCCGCCACCATGCCGCACGATTTCAAGCCGTCCAGAGACCACCTCCGCAACGTCATACTCTTTCTAACGCTATCTGGCCAAGAACCCGCGGATATCGACAGACGCCTAAAGGAAGTCTACAAGGAGCATGCCCCGCTAGAAGTACAGTCTACTTGTGGCATTCGAAGTTTGCGTCGGGCAACTATTCCATCGAAGACGAAGACCATGCGAGACGCCCGAGGGAGCTGGATTTGGACTCGCTGCGGAAACAGGTGGAAGCCGATCCGTATCAAACCACTCGAGATATGGCGACCGCTCTTGGGGTGAGTCAGACTACTGTCGTTCGCGGCTTGAAGTCAATCGGCAAGGTGCTGAAACTCGGTCGATGGGTACCCCATGCTCTGACGCAGCGGGACATGGATCGGCGGTGCGAGGTCGCACTTTCGTTGCTCACCTTCAAGCGCCACCACCATTGGCTCGACGAAATAATCACTGGCGATGAGAAGTGGGTCCTCTACTCTAACTCTCGCCGCACAATGGGTCGACAAAGATGCCGACGCAAACGACGTCCCCAAACCCAGTCCACACCCGAAAAAGGTGATGCTCTGTATTTGGTGGAGCGTACACGGCGTAGAGTACTGGGAACTGCTCGATGAAGGTGCAACAGTAACCGCCGACGTCTACATTCGTCAATTACGAGAATTGAAGGCAAATGTCCAAAATTCGCAACGGCGGCGGTCCCATGTCTACTTCCAGCACGACAACGCGAGACCGCACATTGCAAGATCGACCAAGGCCGAGCTGCTGTCGTACAGTTGGACCGTGCTTCCACACCCCCTGTACACCAGGCCCCTTCGGATTTCCACCTTTTCTCCCACCGGACGGCCAAGACTTTAAAACTCGCGACTCGAGAACTTGTTGGAGGCCCAGCCCCCGGCCTTCTGGAGCAAGGGCATCCACGATCTGCCTATCCGGTGGCAGAAGGTCATCGATGAAGATGGAGCATATTTCAAGTGAACCCCAGTTGTCGTTAAAAAGTTGTACGATAAAGAAAAAATTTGTCAATTTGTCCGAATCATACCAACTCAACCTAATAGCTCGGTTCCAGAACACTCCAGACACCGGAGAAAAAATGGACTGAGGTCAGCAGAGGGTCGCCGATTGAGAAATGTGGGGTATACATATTGTGGGCGGGGCCAGCCCGAGGTGGGCGGAGCCAGACGAAAATTCTCTAAAACTGTCCCAGAGCACTTCAAAGACCGGAAAAAACGTGGATTAAGGTCAGCAGAGGGTCGCCGGTGAGGATTGTGGGGCACAAAATTGGGGGCGGGGCCTGCTTCGAAGTGGGCGGAGTCAGACAAAAGATCTGCAAAACGGTCCCAGAGCACTCCGAAGACCCGAAAAAGTGGATTAAGGTCAGCAGGATTAAGGTCAGAGGGTCGCCAGTGAGGGAGGCAGGGATAGCCGAGTGGTTAAGAGTGTAGACTCATAATCTCACTCTGAGCCACGAGTTCGATCCCTGCCGAGGCACAAACCTGCCTTGCAAAAATTGCAAAAATGGGGACGATACCAGCGTCAGGCCCAGGTTGACAGGCCGGCTGATGGAGGAACCCGTCACAACAACCATGACAAGTCGCAAAAGTATCAGTGTTAAAGCTAGGACGTCACCCGGAAGTGGCGCGCAGAACCCTCGCCCGAGTTCTGTGGTCAGTATGCGAGGGCTACCGAGGGGTGAACGACCTCGGCCAAAGAAGCTAGTTCGAATTGGGACCCTGAACGTGGGGTCGCTTACCGGGAAGTCTCGTGAGGTTGCCGACCTCATGAGACGCAGGAATATCCAAGTCCTATGCCTTCAGGAAACGCGATGGAAGGGTGCGAAGGCCCGCGAGATTGGAGAAGGTGTCAAACTCTTCTACAATGGAGCAGACACCAAACGGAATGGCGTGGCCATAGCGGTGGCAGAATCCCTTAAGGACACATGGTACGCTCAAACATTGAGGGTGTATGAGACTATCAGCCCCCAGCTGTCGATGTGTCGTGGTCCCCCCGCCCAAAACTGCACGGGGTCAGAGTACGGGGCCGTGGGAAAGTCGTAATTCCTTGCTACACCGCCCTTTCGCAAACGTTTATGCTAACACCGTCCGCGCGGCGCGGTCGCGTGCAGCTCTCTTGGCTTTTTGCCAAGTCCTGTAATTGCGCTTTGGAATACAAGTACAACGCAATTTCTTTATGCGGATAACATTTTAGGTGCTGCAAAATAAGAAGATGATGAGGGCTAGAACTCAAGAGCAACTGTGCTGCTTCTGCAATATCCCTCAGAGGCCGCGCATTCCCACAAAACATGAAATAAAAACGGCCTAAGCGTCCCACTCGTTAGTTTGAAGTATTTCTATAGCTTTAGAGCCGGATTCGAGCCGGATCGCAGAAATGCACACGCGATTTTAATTAATTTGCGTTTCCTTAGTTTTTTCAATTTTGTTTTATTTACATCTACATTCGTTGTTGTTCATTTCTAGCCTTTGTCATCTTCATCACCTTCTATTCGGACTTTGAAGCATGAGCAATACCTCAAATGTTAGGAAATTGCGTTTTGCTTGTATTGTCATGTTTTATTGTCATGTTGTCCGTTTTTATTGTCATGTTCTGTGGGACGGCCTCTGAGGGATATTGCAGAAGCACCACAGTTGCTCTTGAGTTCTAGCCCTCGTCATCATCTTCGGTTCTTATTTTGCAGCACCTAAAATGTTATCCGCATAAAGAAATTGCGTTGTACTTGTATTCCAAAGCGCAATTACAGGACTTGGCAAAAAGCCAAGAGAGCTGCACGCGGACGGTGTTAGTAAAAACGTGAGTTTGCAAAAACGGGCGGCGTAGCAAGGAATTACGACTTTCCCACGGCCCCGTACTCTGACCCCGTGCAGTTTTGGGCGGGGGGACCACGACACATCGACAGCTGGGGGCTGATAGTCTCATACACCCTCAATGTGTTGAGCGTACCATGTGTCTTCAAGGACTGCGTCTCCACTGTGAACAGGATCAGTGATCGGATCATGGGAGTGAGAATGGACACGAAGGAGGGGTACTGGACAGTACTGACCGTGTACGCACCACAATCCGGTTGCTCCGAGGCGGAAAAGGATGAGTTCTACCTGACCCTGGACGAGGCCATAAGATCGGTTCCGGAAGATGACTACCTCACCATAGCTGGGGATCTGAATGGCCATGTGGGAAATGACAGAAGGGGTCTAGAAAGGGTGCACGGAGGTCAAGGAATAGGGACAAAGAACGCTGAGGGAGAACGGATCCTTGACCTAGCCACAGCCCACGACTTAGCAATCTGCAGCACCTTCTTCGCGAAAAGGAGGACCCAAAAGGTAACCTACAGCAGTGGAGGGAGACAAACGGAAATCGACCATGTCCTGGTCAGA